TGCACTCTGAACTTGAAATTAATGCGAGTTTTCTCATAAAACTAAAAGCATGAACCAAACTAACATGCCAATCACGATTATTATGAAATGAAACACACCTTTTACACGCATATTTTAAAGAATATCGTCGACGCCCAGTAAAAACACTCTGGGCTTATAATCGTGAATGCCCTCAACTCGATAAATACCAAGTAAAAACATAGGGATGGGCTTCATACTCGGGAGGGGCTTACGATCGGGGAAGTACGGTACTTTAACGCAATTGGGCTTTCACTCTCAGAATACTGTGGTTCAAACGCATAAGGCTCTAACCCAAGTTTTAAAAAGCACATTGTGCATATAAAAGTTTATACTAATAGTACACGATGCTTGGCAGCATGAACGGCTATGTACAATGGCGTATACGAATGCGATCAGATACTAAAACGTCATAGCTTTGAAAAGTACCCGGATGTTAAATATGTTCGTTCGTTAATTATTCCCCTCCATGAATGGCCTCCATGGCAAGCACTTCAAATGCCTATCCAAGCTACAGTTATAATTAAAACAAAATTAAACCACTGCAATATTATTTCGAATACAGTTTAGAATATACACAACTATAAATTAAGGCCGCATTTAGGTTCGCTTTAATGATAGTCAAGGAAGTAAAAAAAAAGCCGAGAAAAAAACGTTTTACTTGTATTAAGTCTGGTTTGGCCTTCCCTGGACTAACATAAATTATTTTACAGTAGTTGTTTTTGGAACAGTTGAATATTTATCATAATCAAGCGAAGATAAACACAACGCAATATGAGTGTAATGCAAAAAAATGTAACCAGGTTTCATAAATCAAGCAGTGTAAGTTTTACCAATTAAACACACCTGAAGCGATCTATATGTAATATCTCATTCTATACTGTTTATAATATGTAAATGATGGAATTAGCATATTCATGCGTATAATTAACCGTCATATATAAACACATACGTGTACATATACACTCTCTTTTGTTGACATTGTTTGTTTTAGTTCACATGCTTTGAAATCACTGCAACAAAATGGTACAAAATGCGCCACGAACGTTGGTTTGGTCTTTTAATATGGCTGTCTTAGCGCAGCAGATGTAGCGCCAACTAGTGTCAGGACACAATATCACAATATTTTGATTGCCAAATAATCGGATCTGAATAATCGGATCTGACGTGACTAATTCTACATACTAGTAGTTACATTACGAGCATAACTATCCGACGATCACGAACAGATCGTTATAGGACAGTGTGGCTGTCAATACGTCCATTTGTATTTACGTTGTCCCACCACTTGATAGTTCAAAACGGTCTCAATATACGTGGTCCACGAGAAACAACACGAGAGCACATTAAACATTGGTTTTACTACTATGTTATTGTGGCGCACTCGCTTTTATGTCCTCAGTTCGTCAAATGACACAATAAATATCACAGCGGCAGCTTATGTTAATAATTTTGTCTTTATTTGGAACGTAATGTCTGTGTGCACGGCGCGAGAACGAACATAATTATACAGTATGCGCTCAAGAAAATACGAGATTAATCATCATCAATTCAAGTAGATTACATCAATTCACTATGTACTTAATGTTTTAATCATACCATTTCAATTTTAATATTTAAACATTGCGTTCACATGTCATTTCCGTTCTTTGCCAGACGGCAAATTAGTTCTGCATATCAATCGGGATCTGCATAACATTATGACATTACATTCGGCAATGGAAAATCAAATGTATCATTTCCAGTGTTGCGAGGTTTGTTATAATACAAAAATAGCACTTGGCCTAGAAAATGAGGATAAGAAAGTGGGCCAAAGAATGTTAACTGTACGAGCTTGGTTATAATTTCGATGTGTGGGTAGGAATCATTAATTCATTTGAGTTTTTTTTTCTTTATTGTGTTACGAACAGACTGTCATGCCTAATTAACTGTATAACCTGGAACGTTCTGTTCGCAATAAGTCAACAATAATATAAAATTTTCTCATCCAATTACAGCTGACCTGTTTAAATATGGCTGTGTCAGGTGACATGTTTCAACTCTGAATACTACTGTGACAGCTGCTGTCTCTCCTGAATCGTGTACGTGCAATCTGTCATCCCAGGGATGCCAGTACATACATTGTGATGTCAACCAATCCCCTTCGAACACAGAAGTGCATGTAAGTTGATATGACCGGGAATGAAACTCTGTCGGAACTCGACAATTAAGTGCTTTGGGTGTCTTTTTGAATCGATAATCGGTGTGGTTTGAATTCTAGACCTACCAAACATTGATCTAATGCAGCACTCGTTACGTTACTGGTGGTGATCGATAAAGTACGATTTACAGATAGTTAATTTAAAAACAAAACATTTCCCAGACGCACAATTCGTAGTATAAAACTTGAAACGCCCTGTTGAAATGTCCCCAACAGTACTCTTGTAGGATGGCGAATTGCAGGTTATAATTACGTCAGGATAACACTGCTTTTCCCACAATTCAATACGCTTTCTAATCTATTTTTTAATCACTGGAACAATTACTTAATTGAAGCGTTGTATCGCCTCAGCTTGTACTCATTGGTCTGCACAACAGTCGCCATCTGTGTTCTCATAAGACCCATATCTCGCGCATGCGCGGCTCCACGACCACCGCCCTCTAAATCATTGTAATCTTGCACAACAAGCTCCCCATATTTAAAATCTTAATATTTGTAACAACGAATTGTATTGGTTTACAACAACCTCTGACACGCGCCCATGAATAGAACCAGATTTGTGAAGCGAGGGAACCAGGCTGCAATGCACAACCCAACACATATTTTCATGTATTTTAGCGGTTGTACCTGCTTCGAATTCCTATTCAGATAGTATAACGGAACAAGAAGTGAAACCGTACTTGGCAGAATCTAGTAGGATCAGAATTTCGGTCAATTCAAGTTATCGTTCACTAAAAATACTAGAAATTATACTAGTTTAAGAGAAATGTTTTTCAGCGAAATATGTTGATGGTATCATACCAGAATTGACTTATCATTGTGTATTTTTTTGTGTGTGGATTGGATTCGGCAACGTAACATTGGTGTATTCATGCTGCCATTTCTCTCGTAAAAATACGGTCACGTGATACATTGCATTTCCCGTGAAAATAACTCTTATGTCACTATGAAACTATAAAACTCTATGAAATACTGAAAAATGTTGCTTTCCTTCAACTATTTTGCTCATGTGCATGTGTCGGTGTACGAGAGCTTCACGAACCCACAGCGAACGAGTATATGTTGATGACGTAATTGATCACGTGTTGATGACGTAATGGATCACGTGCACAGGTAACCCACAAAAGCTCAATAGGGTTGGAACAGCAAGTCCAGCTGTTTTGTAATCAATATACTGAGTTTTTTAGTTTAATAATTCAGATTTCGTTGGAGATTTTCCAATATAAGTTACAATATGCACGTCAATGGAGTTTACTAGAGATAAAAAAACAAAACTCCTCGAATACAGGACTATAAACTTACCATGCATTGTTTACAACCATGTTGAATGCCATTTTGTTTTGTTTTTGTAAGTGTCACGTGACATCAAAACCAGCCAATACTAGTAGTGTACACCTGCATCAAGTTACCATGACCACGCACGTACCATTGACGCCGCACTAACATGTAAGTACGTCCATGACATACAATTATAGTAACGACACAAAACAGTTTTGTTATTCTGTAACATGCGTTTATTATATGGGGGGAATGAATGTACTCTTTTAAAATAAAATAAATCGTCCTGCATATAACGCAGAGAGAAAAACATCATCTATGTACACGACCTTTAACCCCGAAATGTACAATTTGTGTGTAAGATAATTGTCATCATTAATGTACAATCCCGTGAATAGCTACGTACAAGGTCATACATCGGCACAAAATAGTAACTTGATCTGTCTCAAGACTGAAGAATACATTAAGTAACAATGAATAAATACTTATGACATTAAGTTGATTAATTGAGTATCGTAATTTTAACTACATGTATTAACAACTAAGTCCCGGTATGTGAAAGCGTAAACTTGTTTCGATCCACCCTGATTTTCAACAGCTGTGAATATACAACAAATATAACCTGTTATTAACTGTCAGTGAGTGTCCGACGCCCCGGTAGGTATTACCGTGGAAACAAATCGGTATAGTTGAAACGCATGTACCTCTGCTACATACTGATACACAATATGAAAATGAAAATTGGTTCGTTGCAATGTGTGCCTAAACGCGAGGACAGAATAAAATAACGGTTTCTTGTACTACTGACTGTGGGACGCTTGTCAACGAATTCTGATCAACGTAGTATGAAAAATATTAATTAATCGTCGAATATCCCAAACATCGTGACGCACACAACCTGTGTAAAAACATTCAAACGCGCTGCGTTAATTGATACTCAGAAAGCCTTACCTGTCCGAATTTGCAAGCCAAGTTTTTGAAAAACGATCCATATATCTCTTGGTTTCCTGAAGGGGAATAGTTTTCCATTCGCCGTTCTCCTTGTATCGTAGATCGTCTTCTTTGTCACCATTGAAGTTTCCTAAAATACCGGTGACCTTTCCAGACAGCTCGGCACTTGCATTGATGTTCACATGACCTTCATAGCCATTCCAGACTACGGAGAAGACATTCGGCCCGAAGTTAACAAGAACAAATTTTTTATGTAGATTTTTCCATTCAATCGAAATGTTCTCGAACGAGGTTGGACGTGTTGATAGCTTGTCAGTCACGTTCTTGCCATCGACCTAGCAAGATAATTAATACACATACATATTCATTACTTACTAGTATGTAAATATTCTGTATGGGCCCTAATTAGTATTAGTATTCTCTACAATAAATATATATAATTGGGGATGTTTTGGATTTTGCAAATAAAATACGATATTTTTTTCTACTTCATTTGCAAATTTCAATTGTTTGTAACAATTTAAACATCAAACTTTAACGGAAGTAGAAGAACTTAAAGCGGGAGGCTCGTCACCTGCACACGCGCGGGAATTGAGTCCCAAGCGATGATAACAACACACGCTAAGAACGCAAAGGCTCATGGGTAGACGCTTGTTTGTAAACAATGACACGCTATTGCGACTCCCCACTTTAACAGAACATTTATAAGCTTGGAGGGATGCATGCATATTTCTGGACACACTGTTCCTATTTCGACGATTACCTTGATTATATTCCCTTCTTGAAGCTGCACGTGTTGACCGTTAAAATCAACGGCAACATGTCCGATGAAGTACGCCTTTTTCCCTAGTATTGAACCACCCACGTGGCGTGAGACCACGCGGAAGCTGGGTTCCTCAACGTCTTCTTGAAACATGATATACTCACACGCATCACCCTCGAACCTGAACCTGAATCCATCGCCAGTTTCCATTATTGGGTCACCAAATCCACCAGCGCCTGTACGCCGATTTTAATTTTATAAGTAGCACATTCATACATATTTATTTCATGAACGAACAAATAATGATCACGTGCGTTGAAAAATATTTAAGTTGACCGCATCGATTACTTACTGCACACATACCATATTTTATTTAATCACACACGACAAAAGCTAATACAATTTCAATCTCATTACATGAGAATTGTTTATGCATTCCAATTAAAACGTATATAAAATATTTATCTTATTGTCAATGTGAAAAAAATGAATGTAAGTATGTATAACTATCCTGTTGTCTTTAGAACAATGTCGCATGGCTACTCACCACCTCCATCACCTACATCAAAAAAATAAAACGGAAAAACGCGTTTTAATATTTTGCACTATGTTTTCCGGACATAACATGGATATACAGCGATTAACAAATCCGAATTCACATTTAGTCCGACTTATTTTCAAAGTTTAACAAGAACAATATTGTCGATCATTGGAACGAGAAAACAAACGTGAACAATTCACTCACCGTGGCCTAGATTCTCTGGAACAGTAAGCCCTGGAATATAATTCACAATTATACATAATAAAATAAATGACACTGTAATATATAGTTCAAATATGATGTTTTCATAGGATAACGACTATGTATGATTGTTTTGGATTGTCTCTTCATAAAATATGTAATTGCGTGCCAGCTGGGGGTAGGTGTACTAACTATACGTCGTTGGGAAATCTACGCCAGCGTCTGTGGTATTTTCGCCTACCTCCAAGGGATTCTCCAAATGGTGCCAAATCATCTGCAAGATTGGGAAAGGGAAGATCAATTAATCAATAAATGCAGTTAGTTAACTTTTACTTCAATACGCAAACACAAATCCCGAAACAGGGCAAACTGTATAATAATATATCGTTCTATCGTATACACTTATTCAATGCTTTACCTTTAACTGCTGCGCCCTCTCCAGGAGGTCCTGCCATAAAAAGTCGACAGAATTAAAAGTTAGTTGAAGCTCAGACAGCTTGCACCAGCTCATGACACATATTCACAATTACATACAGTGTGTAATCCGTGCGTGCACGAAAAGATTTAGCCCCATAAAGACTGCGAATTGTAAGGCGATGGCCTAATAATCCTGTTATAGTCTTTTCTTTGAATCATTATGTATGTTTCAATTCACTTCAAAATGTTTTGAATATGTGTATATCCTTGAAGCGTAATAATTGAGTACAAAACCAATTGTGCCCGTGAATTGTCCGTTGGACAGCCTGTGCAAAGATATTGTGCACATGTACCTATGGTACAATGTTCGTTATAATGATCGCTACTTAAAGGGGAATTACGTTGAAACACATGTTATGATTTATATGTGGGATATATTTAATCTCCCCCATTACCAGCATATACATTTGTATAAGCAGAGATTTGACCCAACTTTGGGAATCATCAATTCATGTGTATTCTACTGCAAGTGTTAAATGTGCACCATGCCAAGCTCACCTGTTCCAGTGGCCTCGGCAGCAGTTTCGGGAGGATCTGAAAATATGCAGGCGGCATTTCAATTGACGTACACTTGTTCTCGTAATGGTATACAGCCAGGGACAGAATAGCATGTTCATTGCATGTACGCTGCGAACCTGTTTGAACGCGTGCATGAAAAAATACACGTTATCAGTACTGACTTTCGGTTATTTACCGCCACGTCTCATTTACGCGGCAGCGCTCTTGAATGCCACGCAAAACACCCTTGGTTCGCGAACCTTAGAAGTGTTTATAGAGTACGGGATTGACCACACTATTCTGTCCTCGATTGTATCAATGTCCAATACAACACTGTAACAGTGGATGACGTAATAATGTAATATTGTAACATATTTGATTTAGAAATGTCAAGATTCCTGTGAATACGTTTTGTACAACGATATTATATTCTACGTACATGAGACAGGTTTGCTTAAAATAAAATCACAATCACTTTAATGTGAAGCACATGATCGGTAGCTAGCATACGAGTATCGTATCGAGTGACATATTTAATAATAATTGAAAAACAAAGACAGTTTAAAATGGTCTAGCAATACGTACTCTCTGGATCTATTGCTGGTGTTATTTCCTCTGCGAAAAAAGTAAAATAAAACATACTTATCATTACACTGAAATACATATAGATATATATTGTATAAATGTCACCGAGGTGTACACACACGCATATGACAAATAATGCATCTGACTCACCTCCATTCACTTCAACAGGGTCCGGGTTGTAGTCTGCAAAGCAGAAATATAAGAATTAATATAACTTGTAAACGTAAATTGATTTGGTCGTAGACGGGAATTTATAAGTCGGGAAACCACAGAGGCAAAGGCCTGACTAGCGTTCCACAAGCACATACATTATGAATATATAGTATACTTACACCCTTCTCCAGGAATGCCTATGTAAAGATACATAAAAGAAGTTATTGTAATTTACATACAATAGTCTACCGATTGACCATAGTTGCAAATGGCCGCCGAGGTCTCGTTGATATTCATTCCAGACGAGATCTCAACGAGAATTTGCCTTTATGGTATATTGGATAAAATGTTATTCTATTTTTCGCTACTTTCCGACCATAGTGATAGTAACAAAACAATCGACTTCATTCTGTAATGATTGGTTGAACACGACCAATTAAATTATAAGAGTATCGCCACTCACGTCTTGGTTTACAACACTCGCGTGTTTCTGGCCACCCTTCACAGAAGGCAGAGTCATCAAGGGCTACCATAGACTCCTGGCATTTGGGGTAACAAAATGCTCCAAAATGCGACGTTGAACACAGGTCTGTAAAATAACGACAATTAGACCAGTTGCTTATAAGCTCATGCCTTGTTTGGAAATAGTGTGGTGTCAGTAGTAATGGCTAGTGGAGCCCACCTAAAAAATTAGCATACCAATAAAAACAACCCTGAATAACCTATTGAATAATAACTTAGGTATATACGATATATTGTACGATCCGGAGGCGAACACATTGTCGACTGTATACTACTATCTACTCTACGTTCATTATAGTACTATTGGGAGGGGGTGATTATTGTTATAATAATTATGGAACGCGAATATGCACGCGCATGTTGTTCTGCCAAGTCACGTAGATGATCTGAGTAGATCAAATTGCATTGATGTAAACAGACCACGCGTTATTCATAAAAGAAATATGTATATAACAACTTACCCGTTGATGGATGGCAGCAAAAGCACTCTTTAGGACAGAGTAGTTTATTCATAGCTAAATTTTCGCCCTCTTCACATGAGGATTTGCACATACCACCGATTAGTGAACACTCTGGGGTAACAGCTTTTATGAATGTAAATTAAATCAGAAAAAAATATAGTAAAGCATGGAAATAGAAATTGAAATGACAGCCACGAGACAGAAGTCCGTCATTAAATCATTTTTAATACCAGTGCCACTGATCATGGGAAATTGAGCTGTCTGGCTGAATGACTGATGATGGAAAATCATATTAAAACGCATTATATGGCTTTGCGAGACTAGTTGGTCTTCACTGGTCGAATAAAAGTAAAATACTCACAGATTAGTATAGTAACAAAGCAAACAACTATTGTTTAAATTGGAATGAACAAGATAAACACGAATATTCACCAACTAGTGGTTATGAAACAAATACTACGTGGTATAAACCTGCAGAATTATGTCACGGGACCCACTACCTGCTTTCAATTAAAAACAGAACAGTTTTCATAAATAACAGTCTCACCTGAGGCTGCGCATTTGTCGATTGCTGCAACAAAACAAATTGCATTTTGTAGAATAATTAATTAATATTATACGTTTATGATTTGTTGTATTTGTATTTTTTGTGCACGTACGTGATGTTCGTCTCTATAACGCCAGCAATTTGTATGCAGTTCCTGGGCACTGGGCTTTGTTAATCATGCGACTAACATTGTGTCATACTTCGCTACAATCAGATATATCTCTATTTTTTCGAAAGATTGCTAATTCAGATATATCATTTTTTACGAGAGATTGCTAATTGTGGAGGGCCAGTACCACAACGCGATATGCTATGAAAGAGGAGAAAACATACT